TTTTTTGTCACGGACTTTGTCACGGACAATATCCATGACAACCCGGGCGTGACTTTAAATTTGAGATTTTTACACTTGGCACATGGACATCTGATTTTATCACCATCCATATAATCCTTTTGTTCAAGTGCAAATTTAATAAACTCTTGAATTAAATTAAGAAATTCATCTCACATTCATCTCTTTTCGTCATGTTTATCATACATCCAACTTCTATTTTGTCTATACATTATGGCTGAATATTATAATCAAAAAATATTAATATTGTTTAAAAACTATAAATTATAAACATTAACAATAATTTGTTATGTTTAATATATTCAGTAATTAATATTTAGGAACATTGATATATTAAATTTCACTAAATTTCACAAAAATTAACTAACGTTAAATCAATATTATTAATTAACTAGAAGCATGCGAGACGTTAATTAATGGCATTAATCATTTAAATTATTAACTAATTCACAATATTAAGGAACATTACTATATTAAATTTCACTATAGTTCTCTAAAATTAACTAGCGTTCAATTAATATTACTAATTAACTAAAAACAATACGTTTGTGGCATTAATCATTGCCATTAACTAACTTTTGAATCATAATTAATTACTATTTAGGAAAATTAATATATTAAATCTTACTAAATTAAATTCAAATTAACTAACGTTCAATTAATATTAGTAATTAACTAAAAGTAATACGTTAATGGCATTTATCATTTAAATTATTAAATAATTGACAATAATATATATTAAATTTCATTAAATTTAGGAACATTAATATATTAAATTTCACTAAAGTTCACTAAAATCAACTAACGTTCAATTAATATTATCAATTAACTACAAGCAATACGTTAATGACATTAATCATTTAAATTATTAACTAATTCACAATATTAGGATTTTAACACTAAATACACTAGATTATTTCGTTAATGACATTAATTCAATATACTAAAATTATGAAAATATAATAATACACAATAAATAATTAACTAACATTTAAATTAAATTAAATTAAAATAATTCACAATAATAATTCACACTAAAGTAATGTTTCAATCCTAACTTAAATCATTATTAATTCTAAATTAGGCATTAACAATAATTGCTAGTAAACAAATCTAATAATCAAACCAATTTCATTTAACTAATAGTTATGACATCACTGCGTTTATAGTTAAATGTATTGTTAATTAATTAACAACCTCACTAATTTAACAATTTTAATTATTTTAAACGCAAAAAATGATACCTATTAAAATGATACATAATTCAAATGACATACCTTAATTATCTGCATAAACAGGGAACATGACATAAGATACATAATTCAATCTTTCAACAGATACTATATTATACTGTGATTGATTTTTAATTCATATCACTCGAATGAAACTGGGTTGCCATATATAAAAAAATTGTCACAGGCTTTGTCACGGATCTGGCCATGACAAAAACTTTTTCGTACATCAATAATAATGTGACCGCTGAAAAATTAATAATACGGCTTTAATTTGTCATGGATTTTGTCACGGATCCGTCCGTGACAAAGTGCCCGGAAGAAAAAAGAATTTGGTCGGAGTGAATTGCCGCTCACCGGGAGCTTTTTGTCACGGATAAAATCCGTGATAAACTTTTTTCGTGACAAAATCAAGCATTTCTGTGACAATGCCCGTGACAACTTTGTCACGGCCCGGATCCGTGACAAATTTTCGTGATAAAACGGATGTGTTTTAATTTTGTAGTGTCATTTCCAGGATTTTACAACAGTTTTCATTATTTTAGTTGTATTCATCATTTTTTCTCAAATCCAAAATGGTCATGTCTTATTGTATTGTCTATGTGTAATGTGGTAGATAATAATACTAAATAGACAAATTTTAGAAAAACATTCTAAAACACAAGTGACATAAGTCACATAAGGCGGGCCATGCATTCTCTACTGTTGCATATATCTTCACTAATTAATTGCTATTCTCCATCCTAAATGATTCGAAGTACGTTTTTCGATCTATTTCCATTAATCGACATTTATTTTATAATGGTGACTATCAATTTTTCATCATTAATTTATTTTTACAATTGATTTAAATTAATACTCCGTATCATTTAAATTTATGATCTTTGGATAGGAATCCTCTGCCGTGCGGCAGAGTACCTTGCCGCAGGAGGGGCGTCGGATGGGGAAGGTCACGCCTCGAGGCTCGGAGTTCGAAATCTCCAACCGTTGAAATATTGATCGGACGATTCTCAAAGACCGGACAGAGTGCCTTGCTCAGAAGTAAGGCAGAGACCCTGTATGCATGATCTTTATTTACTGCTTAACTTTTAAGAATCGGTTTGATAATTTTTTATTTTCAACTAAGTTTTTGTCACTTGTAGTCCTCTGATTATTATGTCATTGACACTTTTGATATTCGACTTTGATTTTTTCCATATTTAGTCCTCGATTGTTATACTAGAGACGCTTTCGATACCCGTCTTCGAAAATTTTCATATATAATCATTCGAATTTCATAAAAGTGACATTCTTGATCCTTCAATTATTATAACTTTGTTATTTGTGTGTACTAATATTCTGCATGCAAAAGAAAAAAAATAAAACAGTTAAGGAAAAACGTAAGATTACTTGTAATCGAGCCCAACATAAACGTTGTTTCCTTAAGACGTTTTTGCCCGACACACGAAGCAAACGTCTCCTAGGATAGAACGGTTCTTCGCTCCCAACAGGATTCCGGGGAACTCAAAGATGCAACAAAGGAATAGAATATGGATGATTGTGTGTAGATTTTCGGATATCCCAAAATTGAAGACAAGGCGGGTATTTATAGAGCTGGTCAAGAGTCTCTAACCCAAAAGACACCTATTAAAAGAAAGTTCATGACCTTTCTTTTAAAATGAATGGTTGTGTCTTTTATTTGGTTTTATTCGGAGAAGAAATAAAACGTAGCAAAAAATAATCTCTAGTCTTTAGCCATATGGAGGTGTCCGGTGAGACTCGAACCCGATCTGACTGACGGCGGCGGTGTGTGCGTGTTAAATATAATTTCACGCTTATCTTTCAGGGCACAATTTCTCATTCATTTCAAAATCGTTTTTTCACAAATAATATTATTAATATTAATTTGTAAAACCTTTTCCAACAACAGTGACATTTTCAGTCATCCACTTATGTGTCAAAACACATTTGTATGACTAAAATGTCAATTTGATAATACTCAGATGACTAAATGTGGAAAATTTTGAAGTTGAGGACTGAAAGTGTCCCTGGCACAATAGTCTAGGACTAAAAATGAAAAAATTAAAAGTCGGATATTGAAAGTGTCACTGACATAATAGTCGGGGACCAAAAATGACAAAAACTCTTTTCAACTTATCAACATTAATGGCCATTTTTTATTTGTAAAACCAATTTTTTACTACGCTCCTAATCTGTCATAATCAAAATAAATGAGGTTGTATTTTAAATATTCTGTATAACAATTTTATAACGTAACAAAATTGTGCAATTCCGTCATTTAAGTTAAGGAAATGAGTCACCCAACGGGCTCTATTTTTACTAATGTAATTATAGTTTTTAAATTTCACACACTGCATTCTTTATTTGATCATTTTATAAACTTATTATTTTCATTTAAAGTAATGAACATGTAATTAGAATTACTTCTCTATCATCCACACAAATTAAAAGTTGAACTTCATTGTAGAAGTTCACCATTTTATTAGAAAAGTTAAACTATTTTCTTATATTACTTCAAGTCAAATTTCACAAATTATGTTAGAAGTATTACCATCGTCACATAAAACTTGGTCAAAGTCTTCTTTTATTGACGTCTCAAAAAAATGTGTTATTTTCATTTAAAGTAATTACTATTTTACATGTGACTAAAGTTATTTCTCTTATCTCTGCACGAATATAAATCACACAACTTTTATTTATTTTTATATCTGCACGGATATCCAAATATTTTAAAATATATATCAAAATTCATCAATTTTTATGATCTTTCATATGACACCAATATGCAATATATAAAATGAAAACAAAATTTGAAGATTAATTGTTGGAGTTTACTTGAGCCCAAAATAACACGAAAACCAATTTTTTTAGCCATGAATTCTCCACAAATAACTTGATATTCCATCCCACGATCGATTTTTACTTGAACTAAGTTCATTTCTTGTTAACCGAGAAATATTGAAAAAAAATTAATGAAATTATTTTTTTACATCGAAATGTGTATTTTTTATTTTATAACTAATCAGAGAAAATATTAAAAGAACATTACTTATTAGAATTTAATTAATGTTTTACCAAATAGGAAGAGTGTATTTTATTGATAATACCTAATAGAGTATAACACAGTTTTTATGGACAGAGTCGTTTTTGAAATAAATACTTTGTGTGTTTCAGTAAGATGTCAGCTTTGATTAATTATAAATAATACCCACTCCGGTTGGTAGACATTTTGTCCTTCAACAATAATTGTATGAGCTAATGACCGAAATAGCCATATGTACCATCTTCTCGAGGTCTCACTCTTTATCCAGCGGTCATCCACGTTTTTTGTCTGCACGGACGAATATCGAACACCATTACGAGGCGCCGCGTATGATCCATCCGATCATTTCTCGGCGTCACAATTTATGTATGATGGTTAGACTCCAACTCATTGGATAAACACCCACAACCAACGCCCCAGATGATGCCACGTCCCACACGGCCCCACCAACTCACGTTCGATTATCGGCTGCGATCTGCGGAGTAGAAAGTGGTAGCATATTCGGGCATATCCAATACAACGTTATCATGGACTGACGTGGATCCTCGCTGTCTGGTTAAACATCGCGGGACCCAACCGACTGGTCTTCCAATCAGAGCAGGACATGTGGAACGTGGGGTCCACTTTCATGTGCGTGAACCTTCCTCTCTCTCCTGTCGGCAATTTTTTGGTATATTAAGCCCACCTTCCAAATGGATAAACAAATCCCCAATTAATTGCTTACGATTACGAGTTTTTTTGTAAAGCCGTCTTTCAGCCGTCATAATCGGAGGAAATGGTTAGAGTTCCGATGAACAGCCGGATTCTGACGTTTGACAACCGGGGATTTGAGTTTTCCGGCGATGTCGCGATAAACTTGTCCGGGAATACGGTCTTCGAGTTTCTTGACGATGACCAGGGTCAATGGTCGTCCCCGGGGTCCACGTGCGACGATATTTGGGATGAAAATGAAGAGGTCGGGGATGAGGATGAGAGAAAAGATAACGTTGAAAGCATCGCTAACTGTTTCTGGGAAGCTCAACAGCAACTCTTACAAGTAAGTGATCAATGATCATTAGCTTGTAAATTGTAATGTGGACTCGGTAAAATTAAAGATTAGTTTGGGACTTTGGGTTATTTGTCTAGTCAAAGCTAACACCTAGATTTGAGTGAATGAATCAAAATATTCTGACTTTCCTTTTTTAGTTGTCCCAAAAACTTTGACATTTTCTCTTTAAATCGTTCAATTTGTGGTTTCTGTTGTTTCTCTCTCTTCTGCACAAATCTCTATCACACAGTTTTTATTTTATTATTCTACGTGCCGGTCAAACTTGTCAATCTTTTTAGGGACGGAGGGAGTAACTTTGACAAGTTTGATCGTCACGAGGAATAATAAAGTAAAAAGTTTATGATTGAGATTTGTGCAGATGAGAGAGAATGAACTGAAACCATAAATTCTTTACTTAAAAAGAAAAGTCATAAAGTTAGTGAGACTCCAAAAACGGAAAGTTGACAAAATTATAACTGATAAAGATCAGTTCTAAAATAGTATTAACTATGTTTTTTATTAGATCTGACTAATATGAGAAAGGGGAGTGAATTAATATTGTTAATTTTGTCTATAAATTGCAGGCTACATTGTGCAGAACAACTCCCTTAGAGACGAAAATTAGGACTATCACAAGAGAAACAATAAAAAAAGCAAAGGAAGGGGGAGAATTATGTAATTGCGAGAAACCACCACCGGTCAATGGAGGCTGCCGTAGCTGCCTAATGAAGGCGGTTTGTAGCCGTCTCCGAGAAGCTGGTTTCAACTCCGCCATTTGCAAGTCTAAATGGATGAGCTCAGATATACCCTCAGGTGTTTATTTATTTATTTATTTATTTATTTATTTATTCCATTACTTGTGTATAGGTAAAAAATTAAATCAAAAGTAGAATCACACTCAATTTCCATAAATTGATCTTCCTCAATATTTTGGAGTTCTCAGAAATATTTCTAAACTTTCACTCAAACACTATAATTAGATACAAACACTCTCATTATCTCTCCAATTATGATGTTTAAATGTCTAATTATGTGTTTATGAATTGTGATAATATGATAGGTGAACATACATTCTTAGACGTGGTAGACTACTCCAACCCCAAAAGGGGAGAGGTGAGAATCGTGATCGAACTATGCATTCGGAGGGAATTCGAGATGGCCAAAGCCGGCGAAGAATACGATAAACTGGTGAAGGGGTTGCCGGAAGTGTTCGTCGGAAAACTGGAAAGACTGATGGCCGTCACAAAGATTTTGTGCGCGGCGGCCAAGAAATGCATGAAGGAGAGGAAAATTCATATTGCCCCATGGAGAAAGTATCGGTACATGCAAGCCAAGTGGCTCAAAACAACCCACCGTACCACGGCGGCTCTATTGTTCCCCGCCGGTGACTCTACCCGGCGTCCCCGACCGAGAGCGTCGATGCTCACCGTTGATCTGCTTGAGAGTTTGCCCAATCCCCACCGTACAGCAGTTGCAGTCGTGTGAATTGATGAGTTATTTAATTGAACAAATTAATTAATATCTTAGCAGTCGTGTGAATGAGTTGCGGAGTATTTACTTATTTAATTGATCAAATTAAATTTGTTCTTGTACTTGATTACTTCTATAAGTGTATACCTACTTTCGTTTTCCGTTATTATTATTACTCCTTCCGTCCCTATATAGAAGTATTCATTCGTTTTCCACACATTTTCAGAAAGTGACACTGTTTGACACTGTTTGACACTGTTTGACACTGTTTGACACTGTTTTGTATTGTTTCCTTTATTAATAAAGGAAAGGGAAATTTGACGTGCACTTGTCGTGAGGTGCACTCAAAATAATTACAATACAACACTAATACGTAATATAGTGAAGTAAGGTTCGTATCCATAGGGAAAGAAATACTTTTCTTCTATATAAGTAGTAACAAGGGGGGTTTAGATTTGTTTGATTTAAAAACACTAAGATGAACAACCTATATGAGTTTAATTTAATGAGATGAGGACTTGGTTTTGCTTTTATCCACTTAATGAAATGTTCGTCGATCCCGGTTATATCTTTAACTATCTTCCTCTCGAATACTCAATCGAGGAGTATATATCCAGTTCATCGAGGGTAGTTATTAATAACGAGATGCGTTCATTAATAAAACTTACTATCGAGTCAATATAAAACAAACGCCGTATATTAACTTGATAGTAGCAATAAACTTAAGATGAAAACGATTGAGATTGATAACCTCAACACAAGCGGTTTATTGGTTTAATCAATATAATTAATCCCCTTTGGCATATTAACCATGAGATGCATGCATTAATATTCCAAATTTACTACCGTTGAAAGAACCGGATTAATAACAAGCGTATTAACCGATCAATTCTAGTAATAATTAATATGAGAAACAATACTAGTTGATATTTTAAGTAATGTTTAAAATATTAACATGAAATATGAATAGGAATTAATTAATACTCAAGGAAAAATATTAAAGAATATGAATCCTACTATGATTAATATCAAGATGTTAACTAATTGTCATCTTAGTAACACTCCCCAATATTAACATAGAGAAAGAAATAGCTATTGCTATAACCAATGTCAAGATGTTAACTAATTGTCATCTTAGTAACACTCCCCAACTTTGATATAGAAATAGTATTTTCAAGGAAGAATTAATATTCAAGGAAGAAAATTAAAGAAAATAACTCACAACTTACAAATTCATTAAGCTTCAAAAGTAGCAAAACCAAGATGGAAGAGTTTAGCTCCCCATCTTGTGCACTCAAAACTTATAATTATTTTGAGTGCACCTCACTTTGTTCTCTTATTTTTGCTTATTTTTGCTTAAGTTGTCCTTTCATCCCAGCTTCCCACATTTTTCTGTGTCGGTAGGTGCTGGTTGTCACGTCCCGGACCTAGCCGGACACGTCAACAACCCGCCGTACAGTACGAATAGTTGACCGCAGTCCAACTCATCCATACTATACAAGGCGTCATGAATATCATTCACACATAGTACATCCATAAAAAACATAATGTAAAACATGCATTTAAAACAGCGGAAGCATTTAATAAAAATGTCTTAGCCACACTTTGGCAAACATGGGCATACAAGCCCCCAAATAATTATTCAAAATAATATCCATGAGCATTGTTATAACTGTTTTGAAACAGGAAACAGAAGAAGCACGAACCACGTCTTCTCCTCTGAATATCCCGAGCAACGGGCACCGGTAGCAACCTTCAAGTCCTACCTGAAACTGTGAGGTGGCCTCCCCCGTGAAGGAGAGGTCAGTACTTGGAAATATTTGACAAGTACAATAGCAACTATACTAAGTATAATCAACGTTTTAATTTCCAAGACCCTCAAAATAGGGTGATATCATAATATAAATAATAATTTATATTTCCCACTTACTATCTTTATAATAAGTAAATTTATTTATTTGTCGGCACACGGCCCTTCTTATATGTTCCTTTTCATTTATCATTTGCACAACCCAACCCTTGGGTCTTATTATTTCTACGGGACTTGCTACCGTTGTCCGAGACCTCATGAGACTCCCGGTTCGGACTCCAACATCCCGCCCCTGGACTCATACCCATCATCCCGTAGGAAGGTAAGGCCCTTCGGGGTCCTAACTTATGTGTTACCGCTACCGGAACCTAGTTAGGTCTCCGATTCGGATTCCACCCTAACCCGTGATCACGATGTAAGTCCATGCTATCCAACCCCGCTCTCTAGAGTCGGGAAGGGCCATGATCCTTACTATTTCCATAATTCAACCGGCTATCCACAAGGACTACCGAACACACCCGTAGGCCAATCCTACACTTAGGATCAATTTAATATTTACATTATCTTGGGTATCCCTTAAGGCCTACCCCTAGTATAACTTAAAGTTCATACTTTCCTACCTTAAAGCATCTCTTAAGACTACTTAAGGCATAACATTTCACAATCCAACCTTAGGATCAATCTTAACACCATTTCATTTTAATGTCCAACTAGTATCTTAATACTAGTCAAATTAATATCAACAAACCAAGTTCTCAACTCATAGTCTTATAGACAATTCCAACTGATTTTCCTTTGAAAATATCATTTATCTCAATATCCAAAATATCACTTTTAATCACTCATATATTCTAATATGAAGAAAAAAGTATATTTCAACACATGTTTCATAATAAATTCCACTTTCAAGTCAACATACTCATAACACATGAACATACACAATTTACTCCTAAATTTGTATATCATGCTCCTTTTTCTCTAGACATTTAGTCTTTTCATTTTCTAGGCATTATTAATCATTAATAATCCATAAAAAACACATTTAATTACCTTCGGTAATCTCATGAAATTAACTCACTAATTATAAGCAATATAGTCAGCCATCCTCACCTTATGATGTGCTGAAATAGTTGCCTTCGTTGAGCTCCCCGATAAATCCTCGTTTTAAACCGATGAAAGGCAAAAACTGGACTGCCTGGGCAAAAGCCGGGCGGCTTTCACGAAAGCCGGGCGGCTTTCGTAGTCTGCAGCTACGAACAGCTCCTTTGGAATGGCGGTTTCCGGCGGTTTCGACTCCTATCGATTTGCCAACCCTTCTAAGTTAACTACCACCACTTTATAACAATATTCTACACTTTTAAACGTGTAGAAATCAAGGTTTAGTCCACCATATGATTTCTTACAAATCATACTCCATAAAACTAGTTAAAAGAACTATTGGTGTTCTTACCTCAATGCCTAGCCTTTTCTCTTTGGATTTCCTTTCTTCTTGCTGGCCTCAAGCTCCAACCTTTGAGAGCTCTTCCCTGGACCTTATCTCTCTATTCTATCCTCCTTATGGTGTAGAATGAGGGAGGAGTCCATCAAGTCCTCTCACCTTGTGAGGATGGTGCATGAATGAGACAAGGAGGGGTGTGGTTTGTCCCCCCAGCTACCCTCTCCTTCATAAGTCCGCATAAGCCAACTTTGGATGTCCCATTTCCATTAAATCTGGTCATTCAGCACCCATAAAATCGTGGGGTGGCCCCCACTTATGTGGGAGGTCATCCCATTATGTCCCGGTGAGTACAATCGGCCCCGAAAGTTGTATTTTTCGGACCAGTTTAGTCATATTTTATTTTATCGGGCCGGATAAAATATATCACGCGTCCCTGATACTTATGGGCCTTTAGGATAGATGTACATTCCCCAACATTAATTTAGGAGTCTCCGAAACTCATTTCGGGCTGTTATCCGTTAAATTGCCAATACCGGTAATTGAGCCCCGTTTGACCAACCGGTCAACTCCATGCCTTTCTTATGGCCCAAATAAAATATCCACCACCATATACATATTATCTAGACCAAGATGAATATAATATGTGGTTCGGGAATTATCGGGCGGTCCCCGTTCCCGCTGTGGGCCCCACATGCAATTTACTATTCACGTAAAAGAAATAATAAAAATTTACAATCACGAACTTTCTTAAATTATCCTTCAAGGTTTATTACATACTTTACTAAAAGTAAAAATGTTCGGGGTCGGTGTTACAAGTTCACTCCCCCTTAACGGGAATTTCGTCCCCGAAATTCACAATGTTCATTCAAACAAAAACGCGTATTGCTCTTTCATCAAAGCTTCCGTCTCCCAAGTTTCCTCCTCAACTCGGTCACTTTTCCAAAGGATTTTAACCATTGGAACTTTCTTGCTTCTCAATTTCTTGACTTGCATGTCAAGTATCTTCACCGGTTGCACGGCATAATTCAAGTCTTCCCGTATTCCCACGGGTGGTTTTTCTAATACATGAGATGGATCCGGCATATACTTCTTAAGCATGGACACGTGGAATACGTTATGTATCTTCTCCAATTCTGGAGTCAACTGTAATCGGTATGCCACGACCACAATCCTCTCAAGAACCACGAATGGCCCTATGTATCGTGTGTTAAGTTTCCCTCGGCTCTGAAATCGGATGATTCCCTTCCAAGGTGAAACTTTCAAAAATACTTCATCTCCCACCTTAAACTCCAAGGCTCTTCGGCGCTTATCGGCATAACTTTTCTGTCTATCCTGGGCCGCCTTAAGTCTCTCACGAATCATCTTCACCTTAGACTTGGTGATCTCCACCAATTCCGTGCTCTCGAGTTTGGCCATGCCAACCTCATCCCAACACAACGGTGTACGACATCTCCTCCCATACAATGCCTCGTATGGAGGCATGCCTATACTTTCCTGATAACTGTTGTTATAGGCAAACTCCACAAGCGACAAATGGTTGTCCCAACTCCCTTGGAACTCCAATGCACAGGCTCTCAGCATATCCTCTAATATATGTATAACCCGCTCAGATTGCCCATCCGTTTGTGGATGAAAAGTTGTACTGAATTTCAACTTTGTCCCCATAGATTCTTGGAATTTCGACCAAAATCGTGATGTGAATCGCGGATCTCTATCGGATACAATGGTTATAGGAACCCCATGTAGCCTCACGATCTCATCCACATACAACTTGGCTAACCTCTCCAGTGCATAAGTGGTGTTGATAGGTAGAAAGTGTGCACTCTTTGTGAGCCTATCGACCACAACCCATACGGCATCATAGTTCTTAATCGTCCGTGGCAGCCCCACCAAGAAATCCATAGTCACGTGCTCCCACTTCCATTCAGGAATGGAAAGTGGATGTAGTAACCCAGCCGGATGCTGATGTTCTGCCTTAACTTGCTGACAAGTAAGACACCTACTGA